GTAGATGCTACATAGTTCCGATGGTCCCTGAACGCCTCACATGCTGCTCCAGTAGATGTTACATAGTACAGATGGTCCCTGAACGCCTCACATGCTGCTCCGGTAGATGCTACATAGTTCCGATGGTCCCTAAACGCCTCACATGCTGCTCCGGTAGATGGTATATTTGACCGATGGTCCCTGAACGCCTCACATGCTGCTCCGGTAGATGCTACCAGGTGTGTTCAGTGCAGCTCCACTGACAGGTGAGCGACCAAACATTTGTTGGAAAACAGTGGAAGGCGCTATTGATCCGTGTCGGTATAACCCCTGTGACAGGGCTACTGGTTCAGCTCTCCGTTTCCAGGGTTAGGTTTGTTAGATCCGATTCTTTAGTTGGAAGCCCAAGAACAAGCCGGAGAAATCTTCAGTTCTCCGTTGTATAATTTATTTATTTCAGTCACAGGTAAAGTGAGGCAGCTGGAATTCAGAGGGACAGAGAGGAATCTCATGTCCAGCTGAACTGAGTGTTTTTGGTTCCAGGTTCCAGATATCTTCTTGGGCTGGGCCTGCCCCCAACATAGATAAGATTTAATTGGCCAGTTGCTAATGGCGTGGACAGGCATCCTTCTACACTCTGTCCACGTCCTTGATATTTGGTAAGCAACGTGTGTGGATGTTGTTGGTACGGCGTGTAGCTAAAGTAACAACCCTATCTAATAGAAAAGAGGAGTTTCCGCTATCTCCAAGTGTGCAAACCAGTTCTCACCGGCCATATTATCTTCAAGGACGTATGCTGTTCTCAGTAGGAAAATACGAAACAGAATCATAGGCTCAGTGCAAAATACAGATTCAGAATACATAATAGCTCGAAACATGCTTAATTCTAACAGGTTCTACCTGCCTACAGGCCCTTCACCTACTAGGATTCTGTAGAACTGCTTAAGCTGGTGTCGAGGGAACTCGTCTAGCTTCTAGCTGCCTTATTCCAAACTCCTACTGCTCTTCTTCTAATGGTTGATTCAACTAAGTAGCCTCAGTAGTCAAATCACTCGACTAGACACGTCTGTTAGTGGCAGCTTCCCTCTTAATGGATCCAACACTTGGTAAGTTGCCAAGTTAAAATTTAGAGGTTTGGCACAAAGATACCACAGTTTTTATCCACAGCACATACACTTGGTTACACACCAACACACACACTTCTAATAGGCGCTTCCTCTTTAGCCCATATATGTGACGCCTTTAGGATCTGATTCACATATTTGGTAATAGCAAAGAGCAGAGTTTGGCAATCACAGGATACATGTTGGTGAAAAGAGGAACCATCAACTGCTTCAGCGATGAGTTCATTCCTGCAGACAGTGGCCTCATATGACGGGTCCAGACATGAGCTGTTTTAGGGACTCTAACCGTTCTTGTTCTCTTGACATGTTCACCCCTTCTCTCATCTTTAACTGTGCAGCTTTGATTCAATGGTTACACGAAATCACCTTTAATTCATTCAATGTTAAAATAAACATTTCACATTTAAACAATCACCAGATGACAGCAGATAGATAGATAGATAGATAGACAGATAGACAGACAGACAGACAGACAGACAGACAGACAGACAGACAGACAGACAGACAGACAGACAGACAGA